GAGTGCAGCCAAAGGAGCAAGAGAGGAGATCTGATCAATGCTCACTACGATGGGTTCCTCGCCAAAGATGGTTCCCAGTTTTACTGCAGGTCAGTGCTTTGAAAACAGAGTTATGTGTTAGTCCGATGTTAATTTGGAGTGAGTAATGAATGCATATTTAATCCTAAAGTCCTCTTTAATGTGTGTTTAAAATGCTGAAGCTCTATTTAAGCTTTAAGTATATTAAAGTGTAAAGGGATTGGAAACATTCCTCATTTTAAGTTTAAAGCAACCAAAATTAAAGTGCACGTTTAGTCAAACTTATTCAAAGATTGTTGATGTTCTTTGTCTCTGCTTTTATTTCTGTTTCAGTCGTACAGACAAAGATGGACAGCCTCAGTGGTTCGTTTTGGGTGTGGGGCAAGTCATTAAGGGACTGGATGATGGGATGATGGGCATGTGTCCTGGAGAGAAGCGAAAACTAACCATCCCATCAACCCTGGCATTTGGAGAAAAGGGCAAAGGTAAAAACATCTAGGTGGTGGTAGGTGTGCTGATTATGTATTTCCCCACAAGGTTGGGGATGTGATTTTAAGGTTTTTATCATGAAAACTCAGTTATACTCAAGGTAAGGCCTTAAAAGGTTATCAGCAGTCTGAGTTTTAAGTTGCTTCTATCATTTCCTGTTGTGGTGTTCCCCAGGGCTCAGTTCTCGGTCCTGTTTTATTTTCTGTCTGTGTGCTTCTGTTGGGTCCAATAATCCATTAAGCAGTGACTGTGAAGACCCATAGAGGCCTTTATATGACTGTTTCAGAGGTTGAGAAGTACAACTTGTGTAAAAATGTGGACACCTCTTTAAACAAATAACTAAAAAGTCCTGAGATGTAAATAAAAATGTTTTCCATGAGCTTTGAGTTTCTGCAAGTTGACTTTGTTTCAGTGATTTGAAAGCGTTGAAGAAATTAAGTTTAAGTAAATCAGTAGAAAATCTTAGTGTTTGCTTCAAAAATGAGCTACAGCAGCATCTGTCTTTTTTATTATTCATTACATACATACATATGCTGTGTTTTCTCAACTCTGTTTTGTGTGATATTAGTTGATTGTTGCAGGTCTGCCTTCATGCTGTCTTATCTTCTTTTACAGCCCTTTAACTGAAGGGAGATCACATCCCTCGCAGTGTTTGCTACTCTTCTCCACATGGCATGTCCTGTAAGCATGCAAAGATCTTTAAAGGTCTCCTCTTCGTTTCTTCTTTGTATGTGTTGGAGAACTTTTGGAGGAGTAATAGTTGATTCTTTGATTAATACTAACTACAGTCCTCTGATAGTGGTGTGTTCAGTCTGGGATGTTGCATTTCACCCTTTGGGTGTGAAAGAAATGTTTCTTCTGCTTAGAGTGCATGTTTTAGTTGCCCCCTGCACTAGTTGGCTTTATAATGACCTACAGACACTGAAACAGAGCTTCACCGATTCTTCTCTCTGTACCCTCTGTTATTCTCTGTACATTAACTGCATGTCAATCTAATATTCTTTTGCTCTCTTGCTCGTATAAAGCATATTTTATCTTGTTTGATTTTAACCAATGGCAGTCATTTTCCAAGGTACCTTTGTGTCTTTATTAGGCAATAAAAGAGAAATGGTTTGTAATCTAAAGCATAAGGTGAGAAAATCTAAAGATACTGCAGAATAATATGTAACCATAAAACATTTGGGTCAAAAACACGGACATAGACTTATGATTTTTCCCAAACAGCTACTGAACAGACTGATGAAAAACAAACAAACATAATTTCACTTTGTAAACACTGAAGAGGAAGATTGTACTACAACACAAGCCATATTATTTGTCAGATAATTACTATTAGAGGCGACGGCTCACATAATACAAACTTAGCCTTAATGTAATTTAGTGGGTGGAGCCAGAGGTTATAAGGTTTGGGTTAATATTGCTGTAAATGGTAGTAGCAGGGCTTCCTGTGCCTGAAGTTACCATCCTGGAGTTCCACAAGTATACTTGGTCCCATCATGCTCACATCTTTCATTAACATCGTGTCTTTTGTAACAGATTGTAATGTCCATAGTTACTCATGCTGAAGATGCAGTTGTGTGTTGCAGAGCTGTGACATAGGGGGGAATTAGCTATGGAGACCAAAGCAGATTTTGTATCAGGATGTAAACGTGTTTGTTTCTGCTGTAAAGTCTGGACATTTTAACATAGAAGTGTATGGAGACTGAGTCACTGCTGGAGCTTCAAGTGGACATTAGGGGAACTGCAGTTTTGACACTTTAGACTTTTTCTGCATTGTGTAATTTAATGGGGTAAAAACAGACGTAAGCAGCCGTACATGAATTTTTACATACGATCAGTTTAAAAAAATCTTCTGGTCTCTTGGGGCTTGTGTAAACCTTTAGATTCACATTTTCAACACACATATTTTTCTTTAAGCTTCAGAGCAGCGTCTATAGTTTTGCTCTCAAATCACATTTTTAAACACACACCTATTCTCCTTGATAGTGAACAATGCACCAAACCTACTGCGTACTTCCATGCCTTTATATTTTGCACTGATTAAAGTCACTACCATGTTACTCAGTGATTAATGTTTCTCTGTCGGTATCTGCTGTTTTATTCAACTCAGCACAAAAATCTGAAATCAGCAGCTGAGCCACCAATCTGATAAACGTCTTCAATGATAATGAATCATCGGTCATTTAAAATGTTGATGTTTTAAACAGGTCCGGTGCCTCCTAATGCCACCGTGGTCTTTGAGGTGGAGGTCCTCTCTGTGTCCAAGGGACCACGCACCATGGAGGCTTTTGGAAGGATGGACCTCGATAAAGACAAGAGTCTCTCAAAGGCAGAGGTAACTTTATTTTATAACCTGGTAATTACAATAGAAGCAAGGACACAGTTGGTTCAGCTCATGCTTTCTATCATAAAATAAGTCCTCTGTAATCCGATGACAGACGATCTCAATTCCACTTATTCAGCCTGACATCAGTCTTCAGTTCCAGGTCTGAATGCACCTTCAGTCCTAAATGACTGAATAGAAAAGTGAAAAGACAAAAAACTGCAGCACATTAATAAGGCAAGAGCCTGGAAACAGGGTCATCATATCTTAAGAACCAGATAAGCAGTCGAGCAGAATGGGCTTGTTTTATGCTGAAAATCAGGGTTATTAG